GCCCAGGCCCGCCCCGCCGCCTCACGGAGCCACCGACCGGGGATAAAGCGGGAATAAAGAGGGAATAAAGCGGGAAAGCGACACTTCTAACGCTAAAACCCCGGGATCGTAGAATCACGGGACTGTCCGGGTTGGAAGGGACCTGTAAGATCATCAAATCCAACCATCAACCTGATAAAACCCATCACTAACCCACGTCTCTACGCACTATGTCAACCCGGCTTTTGAATCGTATAGACTCAGGATCACAGAATCTTCCAGGTTGGAAGGGACCTTCAAGATCATCTTGTCCAACCGTCAACCTAATGTTGACAAAAATAAACACCCGCACAACAAACAAAAAGCAAATCTTCTAGGTTGGAAGGGACCTTCAAGATGATCGAGTCCAACCATCAACCCAACTCTGACAAAAAAACCATGTCCCTCCCCCAGCACCATGTCCCCCAGCACCGCATCAACCCGTCTCGAACACCTCCAGGGACAGTGCCTCAACCACCTCCCTGGGCAGCCCATTCCAAGGCTCAATAACCCTTTCCATGTCAAAATTGTTCCTAATATCCCATCTGAACAACTTGCCCACAACTTGGGCCACTGGGATCCTGGGCTGCATAGGGAAGAGTGGGGCTAGTAGGTGGAGGGAGGTAATTCTCCCCCTCTGTTCTGCACTGGGGAGGCCACAACTGGAATCCTGTGTCCAGTTCTGGGCTCTCCAGTTCAAGAGAGGCAGGGAACTACTGGAGAGAGTCCAGCGTAGAGCAACAGAGATGATTCAAGGATTGGAGCATCTCCCTGATGAGGAAAGGCTGAGAGAGCTGGGACTCTTCAGCCTGGAGAAGAGAAGGCTGAGGGGAGACCCCATTAATGCTGACAAGTGTCTAAAGGGTGGTTTGAGGGAGGATGGAGCCAGACTCTTTCCAGTGGTTCCCAGGGACAGGACAAGGGGCAATGGGCACAAGCTGGAACATGGGAAGTTCCTCTCCAATATGAGGAAGAACTTCTTTGTGGTGAGGGTGGCAGAGCCCTGGAACAGGCTGCCCAGGGAGGGTGTAGAGTCCCCTTCTGTCGAGATCTTCAAGCCCCACCTGGATGCTCCTGAGTGATGTGCTCTGGGCAACCCTGCTTTGGCAGGGGAGTTGGACTGGATGATCTCTAGAAGGTCCCTTCCAACTCCAACAATTCATGATTCCGTGAACTTAAGGCCATTTCCTCGTGTCCCATCACCTGTTCCTTAGAAGAAGGGACCGATCCCCCCCGGCTGCACCCTCCTTTCAGGCAGATCTCATCACTGCGGGGCACGGTACGGATAAACCACGATTCCTCCCCACCCTGTACCCATTTCTGCTCTAACAGCTGGAAAACGCCCAAACTCACTAAACAATTTTATTAAATAAGTGCAATATAAACAACATACGGGTTTAACATTAGTGAGTTTTTATCTTGAAACGATAGCAATAAAATCTCTAGGATTTAAATACCTTCTCTGCTTTATCCAGTACTTAGGAACCGCGTAATCTACACAAGGGCTCTCTCGGGGTGGTGGAACTCCAAACAGCGGCTGGAGATGGGATGGATTCTGCTGGCAGGGACACTGGCTGCTCTTGGGGCATCTCTGCAGTGTAGATGGATGAAAACAACGCAGTTGACATTCAGGTAGAGGATGGAACAAGAGATGAAACATAAAAAAAGCCCATGAGACAGGGACGAGTCTGTTCCTCCTTTAATAACGATGTACCCTCATTCTGGTTGAAGTTTTCCAGTCCCACAGCTGGGAGAACGTCTTTCCATCAGCCAGACCTGTGCCCGTGCAACAGATTTACTCCACATTTCACTCCAGCCCACAGGGATGAACTTCACTGTGTTTGTCACACCACTGCTTCGTCTGCCACCGCAGAAAATGTGGTTTTTATGAACTGAAAGGAAGCTGCCCAGTGAGCTCACCCTTTAAAATCCACACCTGGTACCACTACACGCAAAGAAGGTCCTTCCATATCCTAAAAAAATTTTACTTTTTCTCACCTTTAAGTTGTTTCCATTGAGTAGTTAAATATTATCTTTATATCTCATTTTAGGAGTGTATTTTTTTAGTCTAAAGATACCCAACAATCTCACTGAATGTTATACACGCTAAAATACTTCACCGATTTCTCTAAAATGTTGCTAAAAAGCCATTCTGGATTTGAAAAAAAAAAATAAAAATTACGAAGCCCTAAGTTGCACGAATCTCCTACAGGACAGCCTCCTGCAGTGAAAAAGCTGCAGAATTATTGCACGGGTCCCTACGGCGTAATCCCTGTGCCCGGAGCCAAGAGAAAGGCAGCAACTGCAGAAAGAGGAGCAGCAGGAGCTGCCCGAGGGAAAAAGCTGCCCAAGATCCATCTGAAATGGTGCCTCACACAGCTCCAGCCCTCCTGCCAGCACTGGGAAACACCACCCTGGCCAGAATTAATAGTGTTCGGGGTTTTTTTGGTTGTTCTGGCTTGGTTGGTTGTGTTAATGTTATTTATTTATTTTTTAAAATATCCATGTTTTAAAAGGTTATCCTGTCACGTTATAAAACAGAAAGCACACATCCTGCTACATGCAGGATTGAAGTATTTTAAGTACACTTGGCTTGACTGGCTCTAAAAGCCACAGCTGAGGAACACCACAGAGCTGTAGTTACTGACTCCCTTACCTACTGCATTGGCCAATCCAAAATACATGCAGGACCTTTGCAAACGGGTTTTCTTTTTCACTAAATTTACACAGTGGGAAGCTCACAGTTTTATGTCCTAAAGGCAAAAATGCTCTGGGCAGCAGCTCAGGAGCCTCCAGCCCACTGCACAGGCTAATAAGCTCTGAGGAAAATCAAGAGTGATTTTCTTGCATAAGGAATCAGGTTCCCAAATAGGAACTCATGTCACTAAAGCAGAAATAAAAATGCTTAAATATTTGTTAATATATATATTTTCCTAATGCATATATATGTATTTCCAGGACTTAAAGAAATGATATAAAGGCTTTCAAAATACAGGTGCACCGATCTACCTGTAGAATTCCTCAGCTTGTAGACAGGCTGCACACAAACTATAAAAACTGTGCATTACAAAATCAGTGCTCTATATACAAAATACCACACTCTGTGGTAGCAAAAAAAAAACCCAAAACCCAATCCCCAAAACTTCTACTTCTATTACCACGATTGCTCATTCTTGTACCTGTGGTAGACATCGAGGTGAGACCAATTAATTTTACCCTGGGAAGCCATTGCCCAAATGTTGCGAGTAGAACCACGAGGATTGTTGTGTTGGGTACAAAGCATCACACATTGTGTCTTAACAGAATTTGTTTTCTTTGAAACTATTAAATGGCCACATGCAGCAGCCTATGGAAGTAGAACCACGAGGATCATTGCGTTTAACAGAATTTGTTCTCTTTGAAGCTATTAAATGGCCACATGCAGCAGCCTATGGATGTTTATTTTAATCAAGATCTTACTAGAGAAAAAATAGTGTTAGAGCTGGATTTAGAAGCAAGTGGAAAAGTACACTAGAGCAGGGAAAAAGGTGTAGATTCATGAATTCAAGCTTTTCAGGGCCTTGCTAAGATCTTGGGGATGCATTTCAGAATTAACTGTAAGATTTTAAAACACAACTTTAGTTTTTGCAGTAGCTCCATCCATACCTACTCTCATTACGTACCAAATGGGACCCCTGCGGTTCGGTTTAACCCCCCTGTCAAGAGCACTAATAAGTATAATAAGGACTAATAAGGCACTTGGTGCTCATTTAATGGTGCTCCCTATGCGCTGGCCCGTCACATGGCAACAGCCAGCCCTCATGCTTTTTATTTGGTGCTAATTTTTGGAGTTGAGCAGCACTTTGGGTGCTGCTCTGCTGCCTTTAGAGGCCTAAACCTGAAATATGTGCGGATTCAGGCCTCCACAACAAACCTGCCTCTCGCCGCAAACAAGAAGGGTGACCCTGTGTGACCCTGTTTTTTTGGCAGAAAACTATTAGCAATATATTCCACAATTGTTCCCTTGAAGTGATTACCTTGTAAAGTCAGCTAATATAGACATTCCTTCCCAAGCTTTCACAATGTGCAATTGCAAACAAGTGTCACGCTTAGATCAAAAGATCAAGCGCTTTTCAGCTCTTGTCCTGAAAGCCTGGTAGGGCTTTCTGCTCTTCCCCAAAAGAAAGCCAGGACACAGCCAACTGTGGCTTTTGGATCTCAAGGAAATTCCTTCCTGGATCTCAAACCCAGCCTGGTAGAGCCCCAGCCCCAGAGCAATCCCAGGAGCAGGGCTCACCTCAGCTGCCTGTAACCGCAGCTGCAGCGCGACTCTGTTACCTCAACTCGTTGGGCAGATTTTCAACATGAGGAACCAGCCAAAGACCAGGGCATGGCCTCTGTGCCATAGAGGGAATGTAACAGGTCAAATCTCTCCCACATTTGCACATTTCTAGGAGCAAATCCCGGTGCTGCACATGCAGGTGACACAAGAGCTATCAGACAAAGCCCAGCCTCTGTGCCACAGAGGGAATGTGACAGGTCAAATCTCTCCCACAACATTTGCATATTTCTAGGAGCAAAACCCAGTGCTGCACAGGCAGGTGACACAAGAGCTATCAGACAAAGCCAGTACCGCTCAAGGCTGATCAACAGCCCCAAGGAGTCAAACAAAAAAGATGACAAGTTGTCCACAATTTTTAAATAACTATTAACAACTATATGTCCAGTTATTAAGACAAAGGAAAAAATACTTGTCCTGTCATCGCTTTGAGTATGTTTTGCCAGTGCTTTTATTTGGACCCCCTCTCGGGGTTGGGATCTTGCTTCCTATAGAGGGAAGAGAGACGGGGGTCAGTGGGGATGGGGGTCAGTGGGGATGGTGAGGATGGGGGTCAGTAAGGATAATGGTCAGTGGGGATAGTGGGGATGGTGGGGATGGGGATCAGTAAGGTCAATGGGGATGGGGGTCAGTGGGAATAGTGGTCAGTGAGGGCCAGTACCGCTCAAGGCTGATCAACAGCCCCAAGGAGTCAAACAAAAAAGATGACAAGTTGTCCACAATTTTTAAATAACTATTAACAACTATATGTCCAGTTATTAAGACAAAGGAAAAAATACTTGTCCTGTCATCGCTTTGAGTATGTTTTGCCAGTGCTTTTATTTGGACCCCCTCTCGGGGTTGGGATCTTGCTTCCTATAGAGGGAGATCGAGATTTTGCTCCTGAAGGACCCGTTTTCTTTAAATACTGGCCACCTACTTTGCCTGTGGAGAGAAAAGACAGATCGTTATTGCTAGCACATCTAGTCCCAGTCTTGAATTGTATCTACCATTTTGGTTCTCACGATATATTAAGTCTAAATAACTGATACCAGCAACTAAGAGTTGGCAGCATCTAGCTGAGGTGCATCTCGTACCAGGAGGGGTAGGACTAAGTGGTCAGGGCTCCCTCAATATCTCTAGGAATTTGCTCTGGAGTTTTAGCTTGACCCAGGAAGGATTTAAGTTCCTCCTGACCATGTTTCCAAACTCCAAGCAGCCACAAACTAATCAGTGCTCTCGTTAGCAAGCAGAAATAGCAGGGCTGCAGACAGACAGACAGACAGACAGAGAGCGGTGATGGCAGGTCCAGCTGAAGACTGGAAACTGCTGAGTTTAATCCCATTCACTAATAACAGCTGAAAGAGACAGTTCAAGAGCTCTCTCCAGGAGCTTGGGGTAATTGTGGGACACAGACAGGAGCAAAGCAAGTAGCAGAGAGAGGAGGTTAATTCCAGCAACAACCCAAACACACCGGGGACAAATAACCCTGAAAAAAGTCTGAAGGAGGAATGGGATGTTAGAAGAGTTTTGGTGCTGCAGGCAGTGAAAATAGCTTGTTTGTTTAACTCCTGTCTTCAGGATATAAAAGGATTTTGCATGGGCTTTATTTATAAAGATGACTGTTAAAAAACCACCTGACATCAGCAGCAATTTTTGCACAGTCATAAATTCTGCCTAGCTCCTGGGTCCAAGCTGAAAAGGAAAAGCAGCACGCAGCACTAACGATTCAATTCAGTTTGTAATTAGGATGAGATTAGCACCCTCTGATTGGACAGTAAAAGCTAAATTGGGCTCTGGGTTCTCTGTGTCAGCGTTCAGGAGCTTTCCAGCACGTTAACTGTTTGGTGTCACTGCTGACTGTTCCAGTCATGGTCACACTAGTGAGGTCCAGCTGAAAAGTGGAAACTGCTGAGTTTAATCCCATTCACTAATGACAGCTGAAAGAGACAGTTCAAGAGCTCTCTCCAGGAGCTTGGGGTAATTGTAGGACACAGACAGGAGCAAAGCAAGTAGCAGAGAGAGGAGGTTAATCCCAGCAACAACCCAAACACACAGGGGACAAATAACCCTGAAAAAAGTCTGAAGGAGGAATGGGATGTTACTGGCCAGAAGAGTTTTGGTGCTGCAGGCAGTGAAAATAGCTTGTTTGTTTAACTCCTGTCTTCAGGATATAAAAGGATTTTGCATGGGCTTTATTTATAAAGATGACTGTTAAAAAACCACCTGACATCAGCAGCAATTTTTGCACAGTCATAAATTCTGCCTAGCTCCTGGGTCCAAGCTGAAAAGGAAAAGCAGCACGCAGCACTAACGATTCAATTCAGTTTGTAATTAGGATGAGATTAGCACCCTCTGATTGGACAGTAAAAGCTAAATTGGGCTCTGGGTTCTCTGTGTCAGCGTTCAGGAGCTTTCCAGCACGTTAACTGTTTGGTGTCACTGCTGACTGTTCCAGTCATGGTCACACTAGTGTGCAGGAACCAGATTGAAGTGACCAAATTATCAAATCCCCACAATGAACTGAGCTGATGCCTCTGAAACTGCTGTTACTGAGAGGGTTTGAGAATCCACTCCCCGAGCAGACTGTAGGCCATTCCAGCAGAGGAAACAGCAGTCAGGTTACACACATGCAGAAACCGTGTTGAACAAGCAATTAAGAGCCCTCTTGCTTTCAAGGATGAAATACTTTTCTTAAGTAAAGGCAACACAGTAAAAACCATTAATTATCGTTATCATAAAATAGCATCTTACCAGGCTGCACCAGAAGAGTTTTATTCATTGTGGAAAACCTCCGTTGATTCATTTTACAGCCATTGATGCCCATTAGGTGAGACTTCCAGGCCTAAAGTCAATTAGAAAGGAGTAATATTACAAAACCAGCAAAATTAGCCGATCTTTTATCTAGTCTATCTATGTATGTACATTTAAAACACGGGGAAAACGAGAGCTCTACACAGATTTTATGGCAATAGCATTTCGATCTGCTCACTCATAAAAGCATGAACACCTTATGACTTAACAGGTAGAACAGAAATCAATATATCAATTTTTAAATATACCTTAAAAGGTACCTCACAATAAAAAAAAAAAAAAATCCAGCCAGATACTAGAAATGAAAAGCGAGTGACATTTGTTTTGCTTTTTAAATTTCCTCAAGAGCTGAGCTCAAGTCAGGAAAACAAGGTACAAATAAGATGGAAAATCTTTTCAACTATACATTGAGCTGAAAAGGCGTGGGCAGGACTACAAGGCTCTGATAATAGCTGCAGCATTCAGCAGCCTGAAGGAGTAGGAGCCGCTATTACAAGAAAACATGACAGATGCTTCAAACTAGAAGCTACGTGAAGTCTCTCACTTCCAAGAATAATTTGCACAGAAGCAAGAAAAAACATAATATCCCCAAATGGAACCACCACATACATTATACATTTCTCAACAAACCTTTCAGACTTGGTTACAATATTGTCTGAGCTCCTCACGCCGGGCAAAGTAAAAAGGATTTGGACAAAACTTCCTTTTGAGAACAAAGCGCTACTCAAGGGTCAGGTCCCATCGAAAGGGAGACAATGACACAGGTGACACCAGCCATGGACCTTCCACTGGCTCTAACACCAAGCTCAGAGCTGTTGGCTGCCTCCTGGACAGACTTCTTCAGAAAATTAAATCATACCCACAACTACTTGAAGATGATCATAACATAGCCTTAGTGGACTCATACAAAAGACTGAAATGGATATTTTACGTATTTTTCCGACCAAATCACTTTTTATATAATACCAACATATACTTTCAATTGCCAAAAAACCATTTTGGAGCTGGCATGTCAGAGATTTCATAGCATCTGTGTAGAAAGCAGAGAGACCTTCACAACTCCCTTGACCCTTACAGCAGTTCTTGCTTAATTTCTTCAAGAGAATTTTTTCTTATACCCCAAATCAACACCATGTTAATCCTGGCTGCTCTGTTGGAGGTGCTCAGTCTTGCTGCAGTATTTTAAGCTGCAATATGTCAGCCCTAGGGTTTGGAGGGACAATTTAGCCATCCCAGATGCCAGCAATAATCCAGGCAAGTTCTTAAGTCACTGGGCATAAGGCAATGTTAGGAGAGGACACGGATTCAGTCCCAGTGACACAACAACATCAGACCCATCTGGAAGGCAGCCTCACCTCCTCTCCTGGGGGAAAGTTGTCATGGCACAGGGGGCAATGGTTTGCCACGTTCTCTGGTTTGGCAGCTGAAATGATTAGAAAAATAATGTGAGAACAGCAAAGACAGGCTAATTTCAAATACAGGAGGAGAAGTTGCACAACAAAGAGCATAAAACTACCCCACAGCTAAACCAGCTCCTACCCTATTAACTGCTCCCAAAGAAGCCCCATTTAACCATCTACACTGAAACAAGATCAAAAGGAACAACAGGGCTTAATCCACAAGGACGTGGTAGCAGCTTTCTGTTCTCCTCACTTGTCCTCCCCCGTGCATTCACAGAAGCAAAGTATTTCAAGCACTGGGAAACTCAGGCATTTATTCCAAAAGTGTTCCCTCCTGAGGATTCACTTTGATTTCTGAATCCATAGAGCAGCACCTCAACAGGAGGGCTCCGACTCCCCAGAGGTACACAAGATTTGAAAGTCTGACTGACTTGATTTTTGAGGTTCAACCTTCCTGTTCCAATCTACTCACAATTGCAAGTCTTGCTCTTAATATGTTTGGGCAACTCCTCTTTTGGCAGGGCCTCGCTGCATCGCTGACATTTCCCAAAATTGTCCTTTTTATCACAATCCATCAACAAGTGCTCGGTCAGGCTGGCGATTTCCACCACCTGCAACAGGGCGAGAGGGACCCAGAGGTTTTGTACCATGCAGAGTAAATAATGAGAGGATTTTAAAAACTGCTTATGTGTTTTTTTGGAAGTTAAATCTCTCACTTTCCAAAATGACAGAGGGAAAATGAAATTTTAATCCTGTTATTAATACAATTTACAATGCTGCTCCTTTCAAAAGCACTGCCCAAGAGCACTCAGTTGTGTTCAGCATTCACCTACGTTAGTGTTAAATATCTCAGAGCACTTTAAACCCAGAATAACAACAGTTAATATCTTAAGAGTATCCCCAGGCAGTGTCTGCCTCACCTGTTTGCAGTGCTCACATCTGGTCAGCATCGGGCAGTGTCTCCAGTAATGGAGATCCAAACCTTCCTCTGTGAAGGATTCGTCCCTTTCACCATGAGAGGGACCCAGAGGTTTTGTACTGTGCAGAGTAAATGATAGGATTTTAAAAACTGCTTATGTGGTCTTTGGAAGTTAAATTTCTCACTTTCCAAAATGACAGAGGGAAAATGAAATTTTAATCCTGTTATTAATACAATTTACAATGCTGCTCCTTTCAAAAGCACTGCCCAAGATCTTTCAGTTGTGTTCAGCATTCACCTACGTTAGTGTTAAATATCTCAGAGCACTTTAAACCCAGAATAACAACAGTTAATATCTTAAGAGTATCCCCAGGCAGTGTCTGCCTCACCTGTTTGCAGTGCTCACATCTGGTCAGCATCGGGCAGTGTCTCCAGTAATGGAGATCCAAACCTTCCTCTGTGAAGGATTCGTCCCTTTCACCACAAAAAATACATAAACTAGGAAAAAAAAATACAAACGTCACTAACTTCACAGAGTGAAACTGATGAATCCTGGTTCTTGTGGTAGAAACTATTCTAAAAAATAGCCATCATCTTGGTAAACCTTATTTTCCCTATATAGTGCTGACCTTAGGATAGGGCATGAAAAGATACTATTATCATTTATGGTAAATACAACTATAATTTGTTTGTACAGAAAGATGTAATTCCACAAAAGCACCAAGAACAGCTCAATAATTTGTTCATACAGAAAGACGTAATTCCACAAAAGCACCAAGAACAGCTCATTGAAACTGGCTTTCACAGCCCCAGAATTTCTCTATGGCCTTATCCCACAATACACATGAAAGCTACAATATGTCTTTGCAGCTGAACATCAAACTCTGGCCACTTCCTATCACACAAGCAACTGCTCAGAAAACAAGTTCAAGGTCACACTATCCAAGAACTTTAAAAAATCACCATCTGGTATTGCCTGGTGATATTCCCAAATCTGTTAGAAAATATTTTCGCTTTCATTGTTTAAATTCCAAAGGTATTAGCTTTGATCTACTGGAAAAATGTTATTAAGGTGATTAGCTTGCAGGTTATACCAAGTGCTTAAGGTGATTAGAAGCTGCTCATCTAACTTACTTATCCAAGTAATTTGTGACAGAGTAGTGATTATCTGGAATCTCTGCTGCTGCAGTCGGTGGGCTTTCATTTACCTGGTACCCTGTAAAAAGAGAATTATTAAAACCAAGATCACATTTTAATTCAGTTTTGTGCATGCCTAGAACCTGCTTCTCTGGATCCTAACAGCAAAAAACCCTGGAATACCATTGCCATACTGGGAAATGAGCACTGACAGACAACAGACCTGCAGGCAGCTGGGAAACTACTGCTTTAGTCATCTAGTGAGTATTTATACACGTAGTAGATGATCTACCTCAGGTTGGGGAGAAAGCTAAAGTAGTTTCAAGCCAAGACACACTCATTTCTTAGGAGAAATTAACTAGTTATCTGATGGTAACTTTTCTTCTGTGAAATGGTTATCTCTATGGCAGACTGAGACTCAGCCAGGCTGATGTGCTCTGGCATGACTTGAACTGAGATCAGTCAATAATCCATTGAGCATCTGCAGTCTTTCAAAGCCATCTTGAAATATTTCTACATTTCCTTAATACTATTTGAAATTACCTACCTTGATACTTTGGCTTGTGAAAATCCGATTCTTTCTCCTATTGAACAAAGAAATTTAAGTCAGAAATTTGCTTCATGACAGTGATTCTTCCCAGGGAGAAGGCAAACAGATTACATCCTGATTTTTCTCTGGAATTAACAACCTAGCAGCAGAGCCAATGCATTACAACATTTGTGTCTCTGGTCCTACAGCAAATCTCTCAGGTATTGAGACAGTGATCTTCTGAGGATGGGAAACAGCCCCTCTTCCAGCACCAGGGCAGCTGACTGCCAGTCTAAGGGTCAGATTTAAAATTTCATGGAAGTGCAGCACATCGTGCTTCTGGGGGGCCTTGGCACACTGTTCCTGTTCTCTGGCTGACACAGACACACCCAGACTTGTAGAAACACCCTGAAACTTACCTTACGATAGACAAAGCTGTTATAAAAAAGAACCCAAGTTTTATACTCTGTTAGGAAAAACAACCCCCCAGATTTTAAGCTGGACTGCTGAAGGGGAAAGCCAGTCAGTGTGTGTTATGGAGTCTCTCCCTCTCTCTCAGTTTTTGTTTTGGTTTGGTTTTTGGTTTGGTTTTGTGGTGTTTTTTTTAATTTTATAACCAGAAACAGTAATGTTAATTCTCTAAGCCCGAATTTTATAAACAGAAACAGTAATGTTAATTCTCTAAGCCCGTGATACCCGAGGAAAAAAAAGGATTAAAAAAACCTAAAAATCAAAACCAGAACACCCTAACCTTTCCAGCTTGAACTTCTGCTATGATACCCGAGGAAAAAAAGGATTAAAAAACCTAAAAATCAAAACCAGAGCACCCTAACCTTTCCAGCTTGAACTTCTGCTTGTATCTCCCTCAGAGCTGCCAGCTGTCCTTGCAGGACTTTTATTTCTTCCTTCTTCTGTTTCTCTGCTTCTTTTGTCGCTGCCTTTCTCTGTATCTGTCAAGAAATACTCTTTCAATTACACAAGTTTTTGACCCATCTGTCATACAGAAGAGATTGCAAAACACATCAGCATAGAATAAACAGTGAATCTAGCACCAGAAATATCCTGCTCGGTGCAGTGATTGGTCTGTCACAGTAAAAAATCTCCCTCCTCCCAAATTCCTCTGCATTAACCTCAAAGAAACACACACCATTTCCTCTGTGCTGACTGCTTCCAAGGCAAGGCAGCATAAAACAGTATTTGCCAAAATGATCGTGTATTATTTCCAAAGTACCACCTCCATATTCTTTGTAGTCTTTATTTGGAAGAGTGAGCACATGTAATAAAGTGAACCCCAGCTTTTCACACTCAGTTATGTCAAAAACACACCTTGAGATGTGTTGTTACATGTGCTACATGTGCCATTCACCACCTAATACAGCCATGAAATCAGCCTGTTTCTCAGAGCAATGCAAAGTTTAAAATAGCTGCGTATGTTCTACCCTCTCATCACGTACCCTGAGCTCAGCTTCAGAAAGTTTACCATCTATTTTAGTAAATCCATCAAAGAGTGTTTTATAGAGAACAGTCTTGCGAATGCTGGCGGTGTCGGGAGGGAGATACTCCAGAACAGCAGCCCTGTGCCTCCGGTACATGTCGAAGATAATCCGCAACGCCACATCCCGAACCTCATAAACTCTGTGCTCCAAAGCTCCTGTTGCAAACTGAAAGGAAAAAAAAACAAAATTATGCCTCTTTTCCCACATGTTTTTTAAGGACTTGCTGATCACAGGCTGCCCAGGGAGGTGGTGGAGTCCCCATCCCTGGCTGTGTTCAAGGGACGTTTAGATGGGGTACTGAGGGATATGGTGTAGGGGAGGACTTTGTAGAGTAGGGGAGATGGTTGGACTCGATGATCCCAAGGGTCTCTTCCAACCTAGACAATTCTATGATTCTATGATTAATCCAAGAGAATTATTGCACTGCAGTGGGAGAAATCTTCACACAGATGGTTTTTTTCAAACACCTTTGAACCCAGTGATTCTTTCTTTCTCTGTTGACATCTTGCTTCCTCACAAAGTCGTGAGTTGCACCTCCAAGAGGCTCTTAAATTCTCTTTAGCAATTCACCAAACACCCCAAAACAGGAAGACAAGCCTTAATAAAGCAGGAACAAAAACATGCCTTCCATGCTGTGAACTGCATGGGCTGCCCAGGGAGGTGGTGGAGTCACCATCCCTGGAGGTATTTAAGAAACGTGTAGACATGGTTCTTCAGGGCATGCTCTAGTGCCCAAGATTACTGGTTTGTGGTGGGGTGCTGTGTGGGTGGGTGATGGTTTTTGGTTTGGTGGTTGTTGTTGTGTGTTTAGGTGGTGGGTGCTGGTTTTTTCTTGGGTTTTTTTTGTTTGTTTGTTTGGTTGGTTTTTTTTGTGGTTGGACTCGATGATCTCTGAGGTCCCTTCCAACCACTACAATTCTGTGATTCTGTGCACTCAAGACTCTTACCTTCATGACGTTGCTGACGGTGAAGCCAGAGTTCTCCGTTCCCAGGTCCTTCAGGAGACGTTCCACCAACTCCACCTGACTCATCGCCACGTGTGTGGGGGCGTTGGGTTTTAAGGGTTGAACCAGATGAACTGGGATGATCTGAAGAGGTTTAACTTCACTACACAGTGCCATTTCCTACAAACGTACAGAGAGCCAGGGCGCGTTTAGGAATGCTAAATGTGGACAGTTAACTGTCTTTGCAAAGTAGAGCTATTCTAAGTTACTTATAACAAGTTAAGTAAAAAGAAATAAGCCTTCTCTGAGGAGTAGCTGCTTATTTGTTACTTTAGCAGCCAGCAGTTGCTTGTAAAGGCTTTAAGGAGAAGATTATACAGATGTTTGGTCTTTATCTTTGGCATCAGAGAGAAAGCTACTGAGAAATCGATAAAATCTTAGACATACTGAGATGAGCTGTAGAACTGGGCGTAAGACAAACGTCAAGAACTCCAACTGACACTGAACTACATGAGGAGGAGGTAGATGAGAAGCGTCACAAAGGATACAAACACGTCAGGATGGATTTCAAGAGTGCTTCAGAAGCATGTGTCATCTTAGAATTTCTCATTCTATTTTGCAAGGGACCTTAAGGGCTAAATTCTGCTGTTATTCAAAGCTCAATGTTTATTTCTTGGCAGGTTTAATAACCGGAAGCAGCCCTGCTCCCCGTTCCTGTCAGCAGACAGATGCTCAAGCAGAGGAAGGTGCCCATAGTCTCACCTCCCGAGGGCCTGCACAGTTGTCACCGGGCTGCTTTGGACACACTTATTTCTAGAAATACCCAGCAACTTCCCTAGAGAAGTGCTTATTCAGGCAGTGTATTAGCAGCGATACAAAATAAGCACATTTTCCTTCTCTGCAGGCCAGGTTCTGTTTACAAAAATACACTTGTAACCATTTCTGATTTCCTTTCTCATTCAATTACAAAATCTATTATTAACAAGCCAAGCAGCAGTAATAAAGTCACCAGTCACCTCTGGGGTTACAGTGGCACACCAGGCCACTTCTCTCAATAATGCTGTTACGATTTTATTTATGTCCACAGTGAAAGGAAAGTCTTTTCTCTCCAGGTGTGGATGCAAGCGAGGGTAAGTGACCCAGAGCCAGGACCCACTCTGCTCCTGCAACTGACTTCACACATTTCCATGCAGAACTACTGCTCTTCTTCTAAATTCTACAGGACAATAGAGCTGAGCAAGGCATGGGCTGTGTCCTTAAAAATGGGCACCTTTTCTATGCCTTTGCTAAGTTGATTTTCAAAAGTCAACTGTCAAAAAGGCAATGAAATCCCACCACAGGCCGAGGAGCACAATGTACCTGCCTGCTCTCAGCTCTGCACATCACTTGCAGAATAATACAAGAAGAAGAAGAAGAATACAGAAGAATACAAGTTAGACCTTTCTCATCACACTGTCCCCAACAAAGGCTAAGAAGAATACGAGTTACACCTTTCTCATCACACTGTCCCCAACAAAGCTGCCAACACACTGCTCGAAAAAACACAGTAAAGAGAGTAAATTGGTGCTACGGCTTCCCCTGCCATAAAATGCATAATCCTTTACAGCAGCAAACTCTGGACTTGAAATCAAGCCTTTATCCACCTACAAGCTCTGTGACATTCTTAATGCAAATCACTTTGAAGAGAAACACCTACCCGAATGAAGTTAGAAGCCAGAAGGCGAAGCCGCGATGAAGAGTCTCCTGTTCTAGACAGCAAATCTGGAAGTGTTTTTTCCACACAATGACAAGTTTCTGGCTTTCCTAGTTTATGCTTTGGTATGTACTGCGTAATGATCATTTTTAAAAGTTTCAGGGAAGCTTGAAAAACCTAAATTAGAAAGAGAAAGGAAACACTGAACAAAAATACCACACAGATCCCTGTTTTCAGACAATATAATACAATCTTTTCTGTAGCTCTAAAGACCAGCAGCAGCAGGAATCTGGAATTACAGTAACACTCTTGGTGGAAGCTACTTCAGGTCTCTATCCTCCAGAAAACATGTTGCTAGGGCTTAGCTGAAAGGCTTCAGAGTTTGTTTTATAGAGAGTAACACAGCTCTTGATTTTTTTTCTTTTCTTCCTCTTTAAGGCTTATTTGAAGCCTTGGTCCCCTTAGGCTAACTGTAGCCTCTCAAGATGGGAACTAAAAGTTACTTCATTACCAAATTTCAACCTTAAAAAAAAAAAGCAAAACTGAAGCCCACAAAGCTCAACCTCAGCACACATTTACTGCATCAGCAGTTGTTCTAAAGCTCATTACTCAGCCCTGGACAGAATTTTCTGTGCTGCTGAATGCCTGACATTGCCCAGTCCCTGATGCTAACTAAAAGCTGACATTCCAATTGCTTTGGGGTTTTGGGTTTCTTTTGTTTTTTTTTTTAAAACTTACTCAACAGTTTACAAACTATTTGTTTGAAGTATCTTAACCACATGGTTCTACAATTTTGGCCGCTGTTTTTTCACAAGAGCATTTATCATCAAACACATCACAACTTACTGAGGATACTATGTCTTTGATTGCCCTCCTCACAAGAAAGATGGCAGCCCTCAGCATGTTCTTTAAATCATCCTTTGGGGTGTTTACTGACACTTCCAGCAGCTTCTTATATACAGCCAGTAAGGCATCTTCTCGATAGGACCACGTTTTGGAATATGCTCCTGAAACCTGAACACAGAACCACTTTAATTCTTAACAGGCCAACACTGATACTTCACTATTTATTCAACATTTATATATAGAAACAGCCTCAAAAGAACATATGAACTTAAGCATGAAATCCCTAGGTGTTTCCTACGGTGTTTCTGCACTTTTTTAAAATAATGGTGAGTAAAATGGATTAACAAGTCAGGCTCAAGGAACCATTCCAGAGACAGTAATGGTTTCTCTCCCTACAAAAGACCATTCACAGTGAAAGTTATGGGTATTCTGGTAGGGTCTGTACCCTAAAGCATCTACTGACACACCTTAATAGCTCATCAAGTAATTATTCATAAAAGCTACAGCATCATACAAGCATTGAAAGCAGGCCCCCATATATTGAATTTTAATCTCAGATTTGTAAGTAATGGCTCTGAACGTGTAAAAATCGTATGAGCAGGTCCTTGTTGGCATATCAAATCAACTCAGCACAGGGGACAGCAATCTATGAGTTTATTGTGTTGTTCTTTACCAAAGCTTCTCCAAACACCTCAATAGCAGGGCTGGCCTCCCTCAGAGCCTTCTCTGTCAGCGGTTCTGGCTCCCCAGTGATGCCACTTCTCGGGGTGTCACTGATGTCCTCTGCAGCCACCGGTGGCTCCAGGTAGGCAACTGCTTCAGCAGGCTGTTTGCAGAGAGCTGGAAGAGGTCTCTCATCATAAGGTAAAAGTTCAACCTGAGAGAGAAGATAAAATTTGCTATTGTAGAAATGACTTAGATGTAAAGTCATTTCTTTATATCTAAGTCATTTCATCACTAATTGGATTAACCTCAATGCAGGTTCCCCCCCATCAAAGCAGTGTCACTTTACAATGAAGTACAGATATTGAAGTTCCCATAAGGACATCGTGAAGAAATGGAACCAGTGCCTGTGAATAAAACTTATTTCTTATCTACAGAATACAATAAAACACACACAAAATGCCTGTTGTGGAAGTGCACACATCTGCAAAAGAAACCACCTGTTGAAAGGAGGCCAGCAAGTCATAAAGCTTTATCTGTTAAATTATCCCATGTAAGCATCCTGTTAAGAGGGAATCTGACTGCCATCAGTGCCAGCACAAGTCTCCCTTAGCTTCAAAACCCAAACATCAAGCTGACTAGATACCATGACCTTCTTCCTCTCTTTAGGCACAAAACCAACTCTGACCCTATGGCCACATTCCAACTAATTCCCTTGCTGCTGTGGATTCATCCAACATGATCTCTAAGGAGATTTATTAAGCCATTAATGGGGCAAGCAAAATTCAGCTTACACTGTATCAGCCACGTTACCCCCAATTAGTCATTTTGTGTCTATTTGCTTCCATTCATCTATTTGTAAATCAGGTATAATCCACTTTTGCCTTAATCTTAATGCACATTTGTAAAAGCTTCCAAAAAAACATACAAAAGAGCAAGGCCAATGCCAATTATTGGATAACATTTGTAAAAGCTTCCAAAAAAAGAGCAAGGCCAATGCCAATTATTGGATAGGCACTGCTCAGGAACAGTCAGTTCAGAAACCACGAGAATAACGACCCAAGACCTTGCTGTTTTAGAAGTCTGAACACAAGATGATCTGCTGTGACAGATTTCTGCAGTGACAGAGGTAAAATACTCACATTTTTTTTGAGAAACACTTCCCTGGAGGTTGTGGGATGAGCCACGGGAGGAGGGGACGGATGGGGAGCAACGGGCTGAGCAGAAAGGGGATGTGCTGTTGGCTTCTCTTCTAGCAAAGGCTCTGCCTTCCACGTCTCTCCTTTTTGTGGTTCTGTGCGCTCAGAGGGAGGTGAATTTGTAGCTTCTGTGCGCTGAGGGTTGTCAGGATAAATCATAGACTCCAAAGGCAATTCAGGTGGCTTTTGAATCTGAGAAAGGGAAGAAGATTTTGTAAAGCAAAGCTAACAATGTACTAAAATCACAGTTCACACACCTACAGCTCTGAGAGTCAATGACATTCTGCTGCTTTCAAGTTAGTATCAGACCTCGTTTACAGATGTGTAATCATTTCCAGTGGATGCAGTTTTATGAAAGAATTGAAGAATCATTCTGTGTGGATGTGTGTGTGGTGAGATTATAAAGCTTCCCATTCTGAGAACAATATAAAACTCTATTTTATCCCATTAATTCTGTATGGTTAGCCACGATGCCAGAATAAGCCTGTTATACCCCTTCAAACTACGAGAAGGTATCATATAAGTCTGTATTGGGTAGCCCTGAAATTATGCAAAACATCCAAAATTCTAATGTCATTTGTCAAAGACCTCAGCAGTTTAATGTAATGTAATTCATGGAGAATTAAGTATGTTCATGAAGTGCCACGTGCAAGTCTTTGGTCAGGGAAATCCACAGTCCAAACAGAAAACTTTAAATCCATATGTAATTGTCATAAAACACCTGTGCAACAACTCTTATTTCCTGAATTTATCTTGGTAGCTCTGCTATTTCTATTTACAACAACAGCATGATAACACCTCCTGGATTAGGAGTAAGAGTACCCACCATCAGCTCTGCATCCAGCAGGTCGTGGAGCTCCAGCTGCTGGTAGACCTTGAGGCGATAGGCTTCCATTTGCTGCTTCTTCTTTTTAGCAAGATCATAATCCTCTTTCTCCACAGCACAGCGCTTCTCCACCTCGTACCGGCCCAGCCGCTCCCCGACCTAGAAGATGGAATAACGACCTAGTTTGGAATCACACTACTGGACATTTGTACCTGTTCCACTATTTCCAGCCAAGTTGTTAAATCAAGCTATCAGATCTTAAAATTACTCTTTTGAAGGGTTATCAGGCATTGGAATGGGCTGCCCAGGGAGGTGGTTGAGGCCCCATCCCTGGAGGTGTTCAAAAGAGGGGTTGATGTAGTGCTGGGAGATAGGGTTTAGTGATGATGCTCCTTGTTTGTTGTGTGGGTGTCTATTTTTGTCAGTCAGGTTGACGGTTGGACAAGATGATCTTTAAGGTCCCTTCCAACCTAGAAGATTCTGTGATTCTGTGAAAATATACTGGCAATCGTTACGATTCCACATGAATGCCAGGGTCCCTGATGGACCCCCAAAACACCGTTTGGCTTAAGAGACAAACAGTCTCTCAACAATACCTTCTGCAGGTCGGCGATGGCTTGTTTGAGTTTCTTGGCGTAGTCGTAGCGTTCGTGATGGGCGGCTTCGCGCTTCTTCTCATCCAGTCTGCGGATGATCTGAGCAACTTCTGGGTCCTGGTACATGTCAAAAGCCAGATCATCCAGAGGTGAAATGGCGTCAGGTTTCCTGAAGGTATAAAATGGGTAAAAGAAACTTTCAGCTAATCCAAGATAGATCAGGCTGAGCGTACATCTGCAGGGATCCCATTAACAGGGAACTAACAAAATCCAGAGACCGAGAACTACTTTAGACTGAGCAGGCATTATTGCCAGGGTAGATGCAAAAGAACATCCTTACCCAAGGTAAGTTCCATCCAAAGCAGGATCATCTGATTTAATTCCTAAGTAGTGGTCTATCAGCTTCTCTCTGGAAGACTTTGTAGGGGAAGAAAACATATCTTAATGCATATTCACCAAGCGCGTGTTCAGGACAGAAATTCTGACTTGCCACAATCACCAAACACTACACAGCTTATAACAGTTATGCTCTGGGGCATATTGTAATTTGGAGAGGCTGAAAGTGCGAATGTTCCAACTGATTACGGTTTATTTTTTGTATCCACAAATTAGGCTCAATTTTTGAGAGCTTTCTTGCTTCAAGGTAACATAAAAAAATAAAATAAAAATCAATACCTGGCAGCTCTGCTACAGCAAAAAACTACAAGAAAGATGCGCTCCATTACCCCAAACCCGTGTAGCAACAGCAAGGAGAGAGGGATGCTGTGCACTTACGGTGCTATTGCTGTCATCACTGTAGTCTGCTGGGTCCCCAATGATGTTTATAGCTACCAGGGCAACCTGGGATAGATTTGAAGAAAATGTGTAAGCATAAGGTCATTACTTTTTCCATATCTTATGAAAACTGAAACAACAAAAAAATGGACCAAAAAACAGTAAAAAAAAAAAAAAAAGAATAGGGCCTGTGGTCTCTGGGGTGGTGTGGAAGCAAAAAAAAGCACCAAGTGCTAGATGTACTTCTTGCTTCATTAAAAATTGATTACTGAATCTACAGACCACATTGCAGAGTCATCAGTTGTTCCCTTTTCTGCTCTGAGATGGAAGTGAGAAAAGTCACTGCAGAATTGGGGCAGATATCTGCTTTTTCTGTACGGGGATGGCTGTACAACACCTCCACTTAACGCCACATCAGATCCTAGAGACCAGAAGTGGTTCTCTAGCTGCTCTCTGAGGAGAGACTTTGTCTCCAGCACAGAGCCCGTGGTGTAGCCTAGAACTCAGAATGAAAGGCAGTAACAACGTGCACCTGACTCGCTCGTTCTGGATGAGTTGCACGCACTTAGTCATGATCCCAAGTCACTTAAAACCTCTTATTTGTATTTTCTGTTTTAAAAGAAAACAAAAATAAACCCAGGAGCTTTCAACCAACATTTTTAGCTTCTACAAATCAAGGGAGCAGATTCCTATGCCTGTTCTGTCACCTAGATTACCAAGCAAGGACTCTTACCTGACCATATAAGTTGTATTTATTGACATAATTTTTATGGAAAATCAGCTTCAGGTACTGGCCAACTGCATCCATATACACCGATTTTAACTCTCGTGCTTTGAAATCAGTCTTTTCATTGTCTGAGAGAGGGACATAACTGCGAAGGAAAACGTTAACAAGTAAGCAGGGGAAATGTACAAATGCACAGCTGTATCTTTGCCCCTCAGGCTGGTACTTTGATAAGGTTCAAAACTCCCTCATAACTGAAACAACGCGTGCTGTCATCTGGCAAGTGTTCCTCTGCATCGTGCCTCCTACACCTATGTCTTCAGCTTTGTTACAGATCTAAGCAAGCCCAGAATCTCTTTACTGCTTGCAGCAAAGCGTAGCATTGTCGCGTGCAAAGCATAATGAGTATTGTTGCCTCCTGAAGCCTTTCTGATTAAGGTAGGAAACCCATTTAGAGCTTTCTGACTTACCCTAGTCTGTGAAACCTCTCTGACTGATAAGGAGCAAAGTATTCAGGCAAGCTTTCACTGATGTAGAACTCAATTTTGCTTGAAATCATGTACTGGTGAGCAAGCAACTGCAGTTTTCGTATTCGACATCTCTCCACCAGCTGCAGAACAATTTCCTGTGGATACTGACAGAGTCTGAAAACATACACAATCTCTGAACCATCTTTTTAAAGATGACTGCGCTTCCAACTTGAGTAACATTTAATTATGAAACTTTCCACAGTTATTACAGTTTAATTCAGTATTAGGAAGATTGTAAAAAGAAACCCAAGAGTAGAGTAGAGACAATCTTTTGTTCACCACACACATGTGTATGTTAAAGTGTCCACACATTTCTAGGGGATGTCCTGAGAAGGCTGCATTTTTAAGACTAAGCCAAGGCAAAGTCCAGGAAGACTGACAAGAATAAAAAATAGTTTCCTTTTTTTTTTCTTTTTAAAGGACTATATTTAAATGCAATGTGATGTGATGCCTTTAGGTGGTAATCAAGGCACATTTTCCCCCCCAGGATAAGGGCGGGGATTAAAGGAACTTTTTTGGCTTTATAATCAGTTTGGTCTGGGATGCTGTGGTACATCTTTCCCCCCCCAGAATAAGGACGGGGATTAAAGGAACTTTTTTGATTTTATGATCAGTTTGGTCTGGGATGCTGTGGTACATCTCCCACACATTTTAACCCCGGTGTCTCAGAGCTGTGCACGTTCCTCCCCCTGGCAGTACCTGGGCGATCGCCATCCATTCACCGTTGGTGCATGAACCATCAGCTCTTTGGCACTGAAGCCATCTTCGTGTCCCGACGAGCTCACCACCACAAACCCGATCTTGTGGGGCATCCTGTGAGGCCAGCCAGTCAACACAACGATGTTTCGAGCTTCAGCTTGTCCCTGGAAGGACAATAAAAGAACACGGAAACACTTCAGTCGCAAATTAAATGCTGTGGTCCGAGGAGTCAGTTGATGATGGCCACAAACCTAAATTTTCTACAATTAATACTGGCCACATAAAGCACGCCGTGTTCTTATGCTGAGCGTTTTATTAGTACTTGGTGAAATGAGGGTTTAGCTAACTTGTACAGCAGTTCGCCAATAAACTCGATTAAATCTGCTAATCCAAGACAGGACCTGAGACTATTTGAGCTCCAATACGCACACAGGAGCGACCTGTACTGTCCTGGCTATGCTTGAACCCAAGGAAAAAAAACCAAACAACCAAGGACAGGGTGAAATTCACCCAAAGCCAGCACCTTTCCACAACCCCACACAGGGCCAGGCTGCTGACAGGGACAGCAACGCCCGGCAGGACAAGCGCTGCCAAAGACCACCGCTTTAGGGGTTTAGGGGATATTATGGCAATAATGTCAGCCCTCTCCCTCCTCCCGCAGGCCCGGCCCCGCTGCTTCGCCTCAGCGGGCGGCAGCAGGCCGCGGCGGCGCCCCGCAGGCCCCGCAGGGCTCATGGCGCCGGCTCGGGGGGAACGGCTAAGCCGCCGAGCGAGCCGCCCTGAACGGCAGCGGCCCGGTGGGGACCTCGGGGGAGGCCGGCCCGGGCGGAGGGGAGAGGAAGGGAAGAGAGAACACCAAGCCAGGCCCCACTTGCCTCAGCGCGGCCCCATCGCCGGGTTTCATGGCAACGCCGCGCACGCGCGTCCGTCTGTCCGTCCGTCCGCCCGCCCCCCCCAACCCCGGTGCCTCCCCTCAGGGGCGCATGCGCGGCGGGAGGGCGGTGTGATGGCGGAGGGACCGCGGCCATTCCGGCTGCGCGGGCGCGGAAGCCCGCAGAAGTTCGGTGTGGCGGCCGGGAGCTTGCGCGGGCTCCTGCGGAAAGGCTGCCGGTTGCTGCAGGTGCGGGCCGGGGATCGCGGGAAGGGCTGATCGTGCTGTGTGGGACCGGTGAGGCGGCCCGGGCGGTGGCTGACGGGGCCCGCGGGGGGCAGGTTCCCTTGGCAGGCAGCCGGCTCTGCCTCTACGAGGACGGGACGGAGCTGACCGAGAGTTATTTCCGCGCCCTCCCGCCGCAGACGGAGCTGGTGCTGCTGGGCCCCGGGGAGAGCTGGCCGGGATGTGAGTGAGTTCCGCGGCGGGGATCGTGAACGTGGAGAGGGGTGTTTTATTTTGATCTGCTGGAGGGTAGAGAGGCTTTGCAGAGGGATCTGGACAGGCTGGATGGATGGGCTGAGACCAACGGGATGAGGTTCAACAAGGCCAAGTGTCGGGTCCTGCACTTGGGTCACAACAACCCCCTGCAGCGCTACAGGCTGGGGGAAGAATGGCTGGAGCTGCCGGGCAGAGAAGGACCTGGGGGTGTTGGTGGACTGTCAGCTGAACAGGAGCCAGCAGTGTGCCCAGGTGGCCAAGAAAGCCACCAGCATCCTGGCCTGGATCAAGAACAGTGTGGGGAGTAGGACCCCAGAGGTGATCATCCCCCTGTACTCGGCACTGGTGAGGCCCCACCTCGAGTACTGTGTCCAGTTTTGGGCCCCCCACCACAAGAAAGACATTGAGGTGCTGGAGCGGGTCCAGAGAAGGGCAACGAAGCTGGTGAGGGGTCTGGAGAGTAAGTCTGATGAGGAGAGGCTGAGGGAGCTGGGGGTGTTCAGTCTGGGGAAGAGGAGGCTGAGGGGAGACCTTATCGCTCTCTCCAACTCCCTGAAAGGAGGGTGTAGAGAGGTGGGGGTTGGTCTCTTCTCCCAAGTTACAGATGATAGGACAAGGGGTAATGGGTTCAAGTTGCGCCAGGGGAGGTTTAGACTGGACATTAGGAAACAATTCTTCACAGAGAGAGTGGTCGGGCATTGGAACAGGCTGCCCAGGGAGGGGGTTGAGTCACCATCCCTGGCTGTGTTTAAGAACCGTTTAGATGTGGTGTTGGGGGATATGGTATAGGGGAGAACTTTAGAGTAGGGTGGATGGTTGGACTCGATGATCCCGAGGGTCTCTTCCAGCCTAGATAATTCTGTGATTCTATGATAGGATAAGGTGTGATGGCTGTGGAATAACGCCCTATATGAATGATTTAACATCGGAGAGAAATCTCATGGAACACAGCTGCTAAAGGAAGCTCACTTTTTCCAGGCTTGAGCTACAGAGACACACGCACCACCCCCACCAGTGCTGTCTCCAGCTCTGGGCCCCCCAACACCAGAAGGACATGGAGCTGGTGGAGTGGGGCCAGAGGAGGCTACGGAGATGCTGGAGGGGCTGGAGCCTCTCTGCTGGGAGGACAGACTGAGAGAGTTGGAGGGGTTCAGCCTGGAGACCTTCGAGCCCCTTCCAGTCCCTCAAGGAGGTCCAGGAAAGCTGGGGAGGGACTCTGGATCAGGGAGGGGAGCCCTAGGAGGAGGAGGAAGGGTTTGACACTGAAAGAGGGGAGATTTAGGTTAGACATTAGGAAGAACTTCTCTGCTGTGAGGGTGGTGAGAGCCTGGCCCAGGTTGTCCAGAGAAGCTGTGGCTGCCCCATCCCTGGAGGGGTTCAAGGCCAGGCTGGATGGGGCTTGGAGCAACCTGGGCCGGTGGGAGGTGTCCCTGCCCAGGGCAGGGGGGTTGGAACAAGATGATCTTTAAGGTCCCTTCCAACCCGAACCATTCTATGATTGGGGTAGGGAGTACAACCAGCAGTGGGGGGGGGGGGGGGAAGAACTTGGTCATGTCCCTTCAGCCCCCCCCCAAACCGCAGGTGCCAGCGACATCGAGCGGTTCCTGGCTGCCTTCTCCAGCCAGAGAGACGCGGTGGTGGAGGCAGCACGGCAGCTGCTCTCCGGGGAGCGGGCCCCCAGGAGGCAGAAGCTGCTGGCGGATCTCATCCACAACCTGAGCGAAAACATCCTGGCCGAGGAGAGGGATGAGGACGAGAAGTGGTTTGAAGGTGCGTTCTGTCACCCGCTTGGGGGCAGCAGGTCTCAATCTGCTCAAAAGAGTCACTTCTCTCAGGTCTACTGTTCTTAAAGAAAAGTAGTTTAAAAATCTGGGAGTCCTTCTGGCCGGTGGGATTTGGTACCTGGTCAGGGGGTTAGTTATCAAATGACCATGCGTTTTTAAGTTTCTTTTCACAATCTCTAGTGTTCTGTATGCATATTAACAAGAAATATTTAAGAACTATAACATCTAAGAAACATTTAAGAACTACTGCTCTCACAGCAGATGCTCTGCACGGTCCTTTTAAGTGCTAAGAGTCTTAAGTCTTAAACCAGTAAAATAAAAATGGGAAAGAAAAAAAACCTCTGTGCATAATGAATTTGTGAAAAGAAGGGATAAGTTCCCAGGTAGGCAGATGCCCAGGACTGAGTCCTGAGTTACAACACGATCTAACTCCCCCTCTGTGCGTAGTGAGTTTGTGAAAACAAGGGATAAATTCCCAGGTAGGCAGATGTCCAGGACTGAGTCCCGAGTTACAACACGATCTAACTCCCTGTAGGTCTGGAGTCTCGCTTTAAGAACAAATCGAGCTACATGCGGTACAGTTGTGAGAGCAGAATACGGGGCTACATGAAAGAGGTAAAAGCTTCTCTTAAGTAACTTATTTCCAAGCTTGTAGTAAAAATAACCCTGTGACCACATATAAAACGCTTTTATACCGCAACAAACTGATAGCAGAAAAGAGCCTTGGGCTGCTCCAGCTAAAAATAACCCTGTGACCACATATATATATATAAAACGCTTTTATACCGCAACAAACAGATAGCAGAAAAGAGCCTTGGGCTGCTCCAGGCACCCAGGAATGATTGTTGGGTGGTTTTTTTTCCCCCTCCAGGTTAGTGGTTTCATTTCAAATGTTCACCCTGCAGCAAGAGATGCCTATAAAGGGATAATTGACCTGATGGCGGAGAAACTGAAATCCGTGAAATATAATGGGTGCTACTTTGACAGAAGGGAGGAGGAGGAGGCCCGTCTGTGCACGCAGGAGGGGTGGTTCTCATGTCAGGTGAGTTCAGCCTGCTCTAAAGCAGAGGGTCTTGGTTCCCACAAGCAGTGACACGTCTTGCAGTGATGTTGGAGGAAGGGAATGGTTCCCTGGGTGGTGCACAGAGTAGTGTCAGGCATGACAACCAGCACCCCTTTCACTGCAGCCTCTTGTTTTCCAGGGGCCTTTCGACAGCAATGAGTGCCCGTGTAAGCATTCAATCAACCCCTACAGCAACAGGGAGAGCAGGATCCTCTTCAGCACCTGGAATCTCGATCACATGTACGTAGAGAGGATTAATCCAAACTCAGTGCTTTTGTGCCCTTCATCTGAGGCAGGAAAGGTAGAGCCATTGAGTCTTTACACCGCGCAGCCAGCTCCGCTGCGAACAGTGCCTTGTGATAAAGGATGCTCAGATGCTGCAGCTGTTTCTGACAACATAAAATCCCCAAGACAGATTATAATGCTGCCTCTCATTAGCTGCTTTGCTTCTCTTCAGATTTGCTTTGTATGGAAACATCCCCCCTCCTCACCGCACTCTCCTTTGTGAAGGCTCCTCTCTGGCAAAACCCCATTTTCAGGCATTGTCTGTTTGTGAGGCAAACAGCGTTCGCTGAACTGATTTCCTCAGGAAAACAAATTAATCATAAACCTAGTTATGGTGAAAGAATTCAAATTCTGCCTGGCTCTAAAAGGGAGATGGAGACTTATTATGAAAAAACTTTTGATGGCAATATTGTTTTCTCTTTTGTGTATTGAAGAATAGAGAAGAAACGTGCTGTCGTCCCAGAACTGGCAGAAGCTGTCAAAACACGAGATGGGAGAGAAGTGAACTGGGAATACTTCTATCAGCTGCTGTTTACCGTGGAGAATTTAAAACTTGTACATATCGCTTGCCATAAGAAAACCAATCATCATCTCAGCTGTGACAAAGCTAAAATTTACAGAAAAGGGAAACAAAACCACAAGATTTCATAGCGCTATCCCTGGAAGTGAGTCCTGCTTTTTGCAAAATCGTGTCACTTGGTATCATTGTTAAATAGCTCGAGTTTCTTAAACAAAAGCTTATTTAGGAGTCCCTGGCAAAAGAGACTTGCAAAGTGATTCAACTGCCATCTCACAACCCAGACATTCCTATCGTGCCTCATTCTGCTCTCCTGCCTTCTCAGTGACTGGAGTCTTCCTCAGATCGTGCCCTGTCGAGTGTGATAAGATACAGCTGTGAGTCAGGGTGTGAAGATGAAGCCAGAGGCTGGTGCTGGTTACACCCTACGATCTGAGGGCACTTGTAGATTTGTATTTTACTGAGTATTAGGCCAAACAAAGAATACTTCAGGGGAATTATTTTGCTCTGAGCCAAACACCTGCGCTTATTCCTGACCACCCTGTTTGCTGGTGCTTTAGACCCACGTCTCCTGGGAAGAAGAGTAAGGCCAGGGCACAGCTTTGCTTTTACCTCTGCTCTCTGTCAGCTTGCCCATTGATTTCCCTTTCCTTTCAGACACTTTCTGCCTCTTCACCTTGAGTTTGCTTGAAGCAGTACAAGGATATTGTGTAATAATCATGTTTACCTGCTACTTCAGAGAATGGGCCTTCTGTAAAACACTTCCTACCTCAGGTAACAAAATACAAATAGATCCATTTTTACTTGATTTTTTTAAAATACCTGCTGAGCAACTGAACTTTTAAAGACTCAGTGTGACACAAATTTTTTTTTTAAATAAAAAAAAATGACCACCATCTCTCTGTGTGTGTACATGGAGGCAGAGGAGCACAACTGGTCAATGGGGGGTAACAGCACGGCCAGTACCCACCAGAAGGACTGAACACTTGGAAAGACGTTTATGAACAGAGGACTAATTACTTACTGCTCTGTAAAACTTCTGCTCTAGGGAAAAGCCCTGTTTTCCCCACGTTGCTGGTCCTCTCCTACCCCAGCAAATCCAGTTACTGCTCACAGAACTGCGTTACAGTCCTGCTGGGTGAGCTGTGACTTACCACGGTCGTGGAGACACAGGAGCTCTGCTACAGGCACCTTGGCAAATCCAGTTAGTGCTCACGGAACTGTGTTAGACAGTCGAGCTGTGACTTACCACGGTCGTGGAGACACAGGAGCTCTGCTACAGGGAGCACTGATTTACTTTAAACAACAAACTCAATTCCCCTCCCAAACATTTCAATGTCAAAAGTAAGTAGGACATTTTCAATACAGGATTTCTAATACCCACGCGTTGAATTGATCCTTCCAGATGTGCCTTACCGAATCCCCGCCGTTGGTCACCGCGCTGGTGTGACACCGGGGAAGGCACCTCAGCCACGGTTCTGGTGACAAACAGAGTGTCATCCCTACAGCACGCTTCCTACAAACTGCAAATCACCATTTTGCAGAGTGCCGAAACTAAAAAGAGTGCCTGTGTGTGAAGAAATATTTGCTAGAAAGAAAAGGGCAGCAAATACGGCATTTAAGAAAAGCTGGGAGAGCTCCTTCAAGATGGAGTTGTGCTGAAAACCATGAATATGCTATTAAAAAATTAGATTTTTCTGTGTTACAGAATTAGAGTGAAAAGGAGCCAAGAAATATCGTTGACAGAAACAATGCATCAGCTGGAGTGGAAATGTGAATAAATTAACATGTCATGCATATACAATTTGTTTGGCTTACAACTTTTGAATGTTTAACAGGCTATAGCTGTAGAAATTAATATTTATTGAAACCATCTGCTGATAACATTTTCTCTATATTTTTAGAAATGTAGAAGAAACTATTTATAACAATAAAGATCTGGAAGCTTATTGCATAATCACACTTTCAAAGAAGTATTACCATAACCATGGGGTGAGTTCACAGCTCCCAAAATCATCTGAGGTTGCTCATTATTTTTGAAAAACGCAGGCCAGAATAACTGATTTGGTGGATTGACCATATCCTTAGCAATCAATACTCATTCATCTACCGATCAAGTCCAACACCGAGAGATGCTTTATCACCACCAATGCATTTGTTTACAAAATTCTTAACTCATAACCCATGGAAGTCCATGAAAATACTGAAGGCAATGGTTGTGCCTGCTCTGGTGGGAGAAGGAAGCCGTGGGCTTTGCGTGGTGGGTGTTCAGCAAACTGACTTGCAATCAAAACATACTGAACTTCCCCAGAATAACACCACAACTCACAATGACATCCACGCATTGAGTTCTGCTGCAGAACTGCATTTTAGAGGTGGAAATGGTGCTGGTTGAGATGTAAACGATGCGACACAGGTTACACAGCAGAGCCCAGCATGTCTCTGTGCTGGGTACCCAACTGTCTGCACTCTCGCTGCATTCCAGCTCAATGCCACAATGGCAAACAGCTCAGAATTAGAGGAAAAAGGACTGTGTTCTAACATGGTTATCTTGGCTACTTTTAAAAAAGGAGTGACACCAAATGTTCACCATAGATATGGGCTCAGATTTTAAAAAAGCAGTAAGAATTTCTATTTTCCCTGTGTTTTTTTTTCCCCTAAGTATTAATGGGAAAATGATAAATTACAATTTATTCCCAAATCACTGAAAATTCAGTCAGTCTTTGCCTCAGATAACCACGGGAGAATGCTGTATCTGCCAATTCCAGAAAAACAAACTCTACCCGTTGTCTCTGAGAAAAGGCAAACGCAGACACCTTCTGTCAGTGACACAACCAGCCGTCGTGTCGTGGTTGCAAAGGAAAAGAAAAAAAGGTTTTGTTTGTTTACAGTTTGTTGTTAGACAACATCCTCTTCCTCCTCCTCCTCCTCCTCATCCTCCTTTGCAATGAAATGCAGCCGCCGGAATTCTCGCCTGCTCATAGTGGTGGTGGGGAGCGGAACTGGCGGGAGATCCTTTAGGAAAAAAGATACAATCATTAAGGGAAGTCTGTTGCAGCAAACGGTAGATCTGCTGCCTCTTCAGCAGTTCCTGTACTTCCACAGCAGATTCCAGGCACCACCACACACCTCTGCGCCTGGAAGCGGTGGCATAAAGCCACAGCCAAAGCCTGAACTCGTCACGGCTGACGGTCCAAGCGAGGGCTGGCGGATTCAGAGAGGGTGAAGGAGGAACAAATCCTCACCACTCACGCTGGATGCCAGCCGTGACTCCTGCTAAATACTAATCCTCATGAAACGCCTGAAAGAAGGCGGCGTTACTTGCCCAAAGTCACACAACATTAAAGGCAGACCTGGGATTTGAATTTAAAGTTCTGGCCCTTGATCAGTTCGAAAACAGAGGTGGCCAAAAAACAAGTTGCCATTCCAAAGAATTACAATAAAGAACCAACAACAGTGAAAAACTATTTTGACAGAATAACACTGTGTCAATAATACAGCTATCTATGAGTAAAAATATCTGTCTTATGGAATTGGACTAAACAATCTAATTAAGAAGGATTCTACATCTGAAATTAACTTGGCTGGGCAATTAATTTCATCTCCGATTGAGACAATTCTATCTTGGGGACAGGGACACGATTCCAGATATCTCCCAATACTGGTCAAGTTCCCCTACAGCTTTGAGGGTAGTGTAATGTTGTTTAAAGATGGGAGACTGAAGTGGAACAGAGTCTGTAAAGTGTGAACTAACTGACTGACTGTCCTCATCTCACCTGGATGAACTCCATGTCCCCAAAGAACCGATCCACTGGCATTGGCTGGTTGCTGTCTTCATCCAGGAAAGCACTGTTGTCTAGTTGTAACGGCTTCTGCGGGGGATCTCCATCCTCCAGGCTGGACCCCTCCGAAAGGGCACTCTCACAGCTGCTCTCCTCCTCGGGGCAGATGTGATTGTGGAGGTTTTCATCGCTGCCCGTTTTTGGTGGAGAACTGCTCGATTTCACTGCACATGGCTCCAGAGAAACACTGTGCTCCTTTTCCTGTTTCTCTGTGTTAGTCTCTGGAATGCTTTTGTCTTTTTTCTGTTTAATTACACTGCAGTCTCCTGGACCTTCTGAACATTGATCCCCATCAGGTGTTTCAGGCGTTTCCCCCAAAGCAGCACTTCCACGTGTAAGTCCTTCTAGTTCTGATTTTACTGGACTGTTTTTTTCACATTTTAGCCTCTTTGAGGGTCGTCTGTCAGATGCTTTGTGTGAAGAAGTCTGTTAGGGAAAAAAAGATAAGATCCTAAAACTCCTGTGAAATACATAAAATCACCAGATCTCTTTAGTTGCAAGGCTCATGCGGAACAAGGTGAGCAGCACCGTGATCCAAAGCTGCATCATTAAGAAAAACAATCAGTAGAAAGTGCACAAGGAAAGAATAAAGAGAAGGAGATAGCTCATCCTAAGTCACAACGTACAGCCCATCACCCGCGGGAAGCTGCTTCTCAAAGCATAACGGGGCACCGTACGTGGCTAATCACCACTTTCATGTTTTCTTAGGGATGCTGTGGATGGGAATTAATGTAGCAGGACGAGCTGGAGCCCGGGGGAGCAGAGGGTCCGGCACGGCCCAGGGGCCAAGGGCCCGCCATGGCCTTCACACGGCGGTACGCCCCCAGCCCGGCCCCGCCGCACACAAACATGCCCCTGCCGCCTGGTTTTGCCCACCGGCGTCTAACAAAGTGACGGGAAGGCAAAAAAGGCGGAGAATTTACTTAATTCTGCAGCTAATTCCCTCATGGAAACGCTCAGTTTGTAGCGGTTAACGACCAGCCGCCCCTCGGCCCCTTCCCCAGGCCCAGCCCGCCCCGGCCCTCCTACCGGGCTCTGCCTCCGGGGGCCGTCCCGCTCCTCCTGGCGACGGGCACCTTCCCCCGCGGGCTCAGCAGAGGCGGTTGCGGGGTTTTTACCCTCCGGAGACCCCTTCGCACAGCGCCCGGGAAGCCGCCGCCGCCGGCCTGTCAGCGCCGGGCCGCGGGGCTCGGTGCGGCTCCGACCCGCCGCCCGCCGCGCCGGGCCGCCCGCCGCCATCTTGGGGAGGGCGCGGGAGCCCGCGCTCGCCATCTTGTGGAGCCTCCGGTGTCAGGGGCAGGCGGGCCTTGCTGTGGCTTTTCTCCCCCGCGTACCGGGCGGGCCGGTGGGGGCTCCGGGCCGAAACGACGGGAGAAGGAAGGCTTCGTCCCCGCTTTGTGGTGGGGAGAGTGGAGATCTGGGCAGGGAGCCCACCTCAGGGCCTGCTGCAAGCAGGGCGGCCAGCCCGGGCCCACCACACAGCCCCAGATCCCGGGTTTGGCCCACAGGTAGCGTTAAAGTAAGCTTTAGCAACGTGAAAACAGAGCTTGCCTCCGAATCTCCCTGCTGGGGGGCTGCCTGGGGAAATAAACTCAAGAAATTCTGTCCGACAGCTGTATAGGTTATAAGCGTTTCCGATCTTTTGCTTCCCATTGTGTCTTCCTTCTGGAGAGCGCTGGCTCTGGTTATAGGATCTGCGGTCAGGGAGTTATTATTCAGATGTACCTCTCAGTTCATTTCCACAGCCCTCAGGGAACAAATTATGTCAGTAACTCAAATCCCTCTTTAACTTCAAGGACTCTGATGAGAGTAGATGAATTTCTGTGTAGCGAAGCAGCCTGACACCTAGATTTAAGTATGTAATTATCTTAACTGATTTTACCAGGGGAGGTGAGGCGGCACGCTTGCCTACTTGGAGGAATTGTAGGTCCTGCCTGTCCTGGTAGCCTGTCCATCGCATTAAACTACAGCTCTTTCTGCTGTTAATTCAATGTTTTGAGGACGCTGTGGGGATTTTTATAATTCTGTCCGGCTGAGGGCACAGGAGCTTGCTTCTTTATAGCAGCCTCTAATGTTTTTGCTCATCACAGAGCCGTAGCACAGGGCTCGGTGGTGTGAGGTTATTACCTGTGCTCCTCAAGCCAAGGGAGCTGATAAAACGCTTGCCCATTCATCCTGTGCTTAAAAAACATGAACAACAAATTAAATCGCAGAAATAAGTGGCAAGAATATGCCTATGGGAATATTCAAGTAAGACATTTTTTCTCAAAAGCGTAAAGTCTTCCAGTTAAGCGGCAGAGGCGCTCTGCGATTTCCCTGGGTGCTCAGGGGTCCTTCTGTGCTTTGTTCCCTGGCTGAGATAATTCACATTCTCCTCCAAAAGCTTCTCGACTCGCTCCGCTTTCTCTCAGCGCTGTTGCTCGCGGCCATGGAATACAGATGATTGTTTTTATTAGGCAGTGAAAACTTATACTGTCTCGTAAACAGCAGAGGACTAGAGCTAGCTGAAGAACAGCATTTCTGCAGCTGGAAAACTTGGTGGTGGTGGTTTCAATTTCCCCAGCAAAGTGAAAATAGTAAGAAAGATTGAATTTTGAAGACTTGAATAAACGCTTTTCACAAGACTATGTGATTTTTATTCTTTGTGCTGCTTTGTAAAGTTGATGTGTGTGTTTCAGAGAGGCCAGGGCAGGGGTGGCCGAGCCCTAAGCAGCCTGGTAGCCTTTGGTGGCCCAGTACCTTGTGCCGATGAAGCCATGATGCTCCCTCCTGAAGCTCTCACCCCGTTCTCCCCTAGAACCATGTTACTTTGGGGGGAAACGGTGGCAATTTCACCACTGTGGATGTTGTCATGTTCTTCAAAGTGTGGCTCTCAGAAAACAGTGGTGCAGAGAGCACCCCGGGAGGGGAGAGACCCCCCTGAGAGCAGCCCCCATCTCGGCTATTGACATTAAATACACATTCCCACCTAAAAAGAGGAGTTATATCAACAATATTAAAAAGTGGGGTTTATCAGCGTGTGTTGTCTAAGCGGGCAGGCAAAAAAAAAAGAAAAAAAGGAAAAAAAGAGGTTTTGTGAGCTGGCTGTTTTTTGTGAGAGCTGCAGGCGGGTATGAAGCAGCAGCTGATGAGCTGATTGAGCAGGAAGGGAGGCTGGGGCTGCGGAGCTCCGTGTGTAAATTAGCTCCTCGCAGCACTCGTCTCCGCGCCTGTCGCTCGCACCACTGTCCCTGTCTGTTAGAATCCTCCCGGCTCATTTGGCTAAACAGCAGTGACACACCAGGGACGGCAGCCAAAAAAAATTGTTGCCCGTAAACACCACTGGCTGTTAACTCTTCAGTGAGGGGGTCTGTCAGAGCAGGGAGTCAGCCAGGAGAGCTGGCTGGGCTTTTACTGCCAAAAGAGTTATTTTTAGTTACGGTGGGTGAATTATTTGCCATTAGCAGCACCTGGGGGGGAAGCAGGAGGAGGATCTGGGGTCTTTCCCTCAAGATTTGAACTTTTTAGCTGCTGTCAAGACGATGTCGTACCAACTCAGGTAACGACAGTGAATATTGAACCACTGATTTTTGTAGAATGACAAAATGGTTTGGGTGGGAAAGGGACTTTAAAGTCCAACTTCCAACCCCCCTGCCCTGAGCAAGGACACCTCCCACCAGAGCAGGTTGCTCCAAGCCCCATCCAACCTTGAACCCCTCCAGGGATGACCTTGAACCCCTTGAACCCAGGCCTTGAACCCCTCCAGGGATGATGTTTTTGAGGCTCCCCAAAGCACTGGATGCGTTCCCCATGAGTCGATATCCCGGCTGGAAGCTGAACGCTGCTCTCTCTGCTCCTCTCAAACCAAGTAAGACTTTCATTATCATTACCGAGGAGTATTCACACCAGGAACCAGAGAGCCCTGACACAGAAATAACAGGGAATTTATGACACATAATGAAACTTTATGCTTGCCGTGTGAGAAATCTCCTTTTGAGTCTTATTTTAGATTTCTTTCTAGTATCTTATCAAGAACCGAATGCGGAAAGCTGGTATCTGAAGAAATTAATTAGCACGACTGAGGGGAGTACATAGGCTTTGCAAGAAAGAGCAGCAAAGAGAAAAACTATGAAATCCATTAATAAAAAGCCTTGAGGGACATCTGAGAAGCGGAGAGCACAGAGAGTGGGTGTTGCTTTGGGTGGCTGTGATCCTCGCCTGGCGGGGGGGCTGCCTGGCACCCACCTCCCCGTGATGGGCACGGCAGGACCCCCTGCATCCCCTTAGAGATGCAAATCCCGATTTTCATAACAATTTTTACTTCTTCCACGGCAAATCCTTCCCAAAGCACTCCATGAATGCCAACTGGGGGATCGAGGGTACCCGCTCTGCCCAAGGTTTAACCCTTCCAGGGACCTTAATTGCTTGGAGCACTGATTTTCTGAGTGTTCCCCATGATGCCAGTGACTCTTTCCCGACACAGATCATCCCACCGAGCCCCAGCCGTTCCCCTGGATCCCCAAATCTCATTACACGGGCGGTGGGGGCTCACCCTCCCATTGAAAACCAGCAGCTCCCGGAGATCTTTTCCTGCCTTAATTTCATAGTTGCTTTAACTGCAGTCGTGCAGCCTCTTCCCACCGCCTCCTGCTTCTTCCCCCTGGGCTGTTGCTGCGGGGCTGGTGGTTGAATTTTACAGCAGATTTTAGCAGTGCTTTCGCCGTGATTTCACCGCCCCGGCTGCCGGACGCTGGGGGTCGGTGTGAGACCGGTGATGGGAGCCCCGGTGGCTTCGGGGGGCAAAGGGCAGAGCTGAGGGGGGGCTCAGGGGTCAGAGAAAAGGCTCACATCCCCACCGAGCCTTTCTGCCCTCTGCAAGCGGCCCAAATACCTGCTTTTTTTTATCCTGGTTTCTTTCCAGGGGAGCCCCAGGGAGCTGGAGGAGCTGGAGGAGGGGGGTTCAGCTGCTCCCAACCACCACAGACCTGGGAAAAGCAGTTTTTCCCTCTTTTCTTCTGCTAAACCTCCTGTCCTGACATTGTCCCCCCCCTCCCCGGCCGGCTGTCGGTGGGACACGCTGGCAGCATTGCACTCAGAAAGGCTGAACTCCACCCAAAATCTGAGCCAGGGCACTCTCAGCATCATTTGCCTGGTTAGATTAAAAAACAAACAAACAAAAAACCACCAAAAAGCCCCCTCCACAACCAAAACCCCCCATAGAAAAAAAAAAAAAAAAAAAAAAAAAAAAAATATAGAGTAAAAATCAGGCTCTCCCAGCCCTACCTGGATTTTTTACCAGTGACAGGTAACATTTTTTGGTAAATGTTGTACATTATTTAGCGTTGTTTCTTCGGGGAAGATTAAAAGACGCTCAGAGTAAATGCAGCTCTTCCATACACACCTGACAATGACAGAAGAGGCTGTTTTACAGAAGGCTCATTAAAAATAAAACCACAATGTTGATTTCAGCAGCTTAAATTACTTGAGCCCAGTGTAATGGGATAAATATTTGATGGTGAAGTTTATTAAATTTCCACCACTATTATGTTGCTGCTAAAAATATAAAGGATCCTTTCAAGCCTGCTCGGTGGTCTCCGAAGGGAGGCAGCTGAAAAGCTGCCTTGAAACCCGCCTGTGGAGATTGCTTTGGGGATGGGAATGAATTATCTTCTCCCCTCTATTATCCGCAGGTAATAGCGAATCCGCCCGGCTCCTGCTCCCGGAGTGGGAAGTCCCTGTTGTACCCGGAGCCGTACCCTCTGGGGGCTTGTTCTGCTGAAAACATGTGGTCTCCAGGATATTTTTCCTTCTGAATTGACAACATTTTAACAGCCCTTTGACCCCAGCTTGAGCGGAGCCGTGGCAAAGACTGGCCAAGCCCCCTCTAAAGCGCTGTTCTGCGGGTCCGTGGCACAGATCCCATCAGCGTGGAGGCAAGTTTTGATGTCCCCCATCTACAAATATTTACATTTTCCTTCCAAATGATTGCTACACGGTGACACCCTCCCTCTCCGCCATGTAATTAGCTCCTGCTCATTTTCTGTCACTTATCTCGTGAGAATTCTACACGTAAAGTTTAAAAACCCTCAACAACTTAATTCTTGGCTCCCGAGAGTCACTGGGTGCTGGGCAGAGGAGTGGGGTCTCCCAGGACAGGAGCTGGCCCCAGTGGAGGTGCCGTCCCCACTGGTGGTCCCCAGCCTGAGATGGAGAAGGCATCTGGCCCCTTTGGCACCTTCTTAGCAGAGCAAAAAGCCGTCAGCGTTTTCCTGAACAGGCAGCTTTTTCCCCTGGTATCTTACAGGAACGGGAGTTTAAGCCGCTCCAGGAACGTTATCACACTTCAATAGTTCCCCAAATTAAAAAGGGATAATTACAGTTGAAACACCCCGGAGCAGGACCGTGGAAAAGGCCACCGAGGTCGGTCTCTTGTCACGTCTCACAAACTCCTTCCAGAAAAGGAGCGAGCTTCTTCCCAAAAGCACTTAGACTTACTTTATTTTATTTTTTTTTCCCCTCCATTACCGATGCCAGAGGTTACGTGTAAAGAGCTGTAACCGTACCTCGGAGAAGACCTTCTACCAGTGGGAGCTCCTCAGACAGCATCTCTCTCAGAAGAGCAGGGAAAAACAATCAGAGGAGACATGTTCTGTTCATGCAACAGCAAGCAATATTGTACCATTGGCAGGATTCATGCTCCGACAACTGCTCCCGCGTCCCGGGGAGCCCAGCGTTGGCGCACGGGCTCCAACTGGGGACCTCAGCGCCACCGGAGCGACTCCGTTATCAGCCCTACGAGGCCCCGGTAATGAAGCCAGATCTTCGTTACAATCTGGTGTGGTGTTTTCTACACGCGAGCGTGCCTCCATCACCACACCTCTGGTGGCTCCCCTGCGTGCTGGCTCTTCGGAAGATGTTCTTCCACCATCTCCCACCTCTCCCCCCACACCACCGGATGGAAAATGGGATGCCACGGTGCGGATGCTGCCCCATGGGCAATAGCTGCTCCTCAGACAGAGGTCAATTAATCCTCTAAGTGGACAAAGGCTTTGGCTGAGAACTCCTTACACACCCAGAGAGTTTCTAGGGGTCTTCTCTGCCTGCACTGATGGTGCTTAATGCCTGACCAGAGCGGGAATCAAAGGAGAGCTAGGGAGAAGGCTTGGAGCTGAGAAGTGTTCCAGTGACACCAATGCCATCATAGAATCAATCGTCTAGGTTGGAAGGGACCTGAAAGATCATCTAGTCCAACCATCGACCTATCCCATAGCTCGAAACCAGGCTGCTGCATTGTTACAGTTCGAGAAAACCCCTAACGATTTATTGTCGTTTAGACAATTGTTCTCTTCGCCTGATGACCCTTCCCCACCCGGGATGGGGAGTAGGGGAAAAGGAAGGAATGCTAGGGCTGAAATATAAAAAGATTTAATAGGGTAAGGTAAATAGGGTAAACGATTAATAATAAGGGGTCTTCTCTGCCTGCACTGATGGTGCTTAATGCCTGACCAGAGCGGGAATCAAAGGAGAGCTAGGGAGAAGGCTTGGAGCTGAGAAGTGTTCCAGTGACACCAATGCCATCATAGAATCAATCGTCTAGGTTGGAAGGGACCTGAAAGATCATCTAGTCCAACCATCAACCTATCCCATAGCTCCAAACCAGGCTGCTCCATTGTTATGGTTTGAGAAAACCCCTAACAATTTATTGTCGTTTAGACAATTATTCTCTTCGCCTGATGACCCTTCCCCACCCGGGATGGGGAGTAGGGGAAAAGGAAGGAACATGAGGGCTGAAATATAAAAAGATTTAATAGGGTAAGGTAAATAGGGTAAACGATTAATAATAATGCTAAAGAAGCAGTATTAATCCCAATACTAATATAAGATATAAAGGAATTATACCCAGCCCATCCCATCCCAGGCAGCTGTGCACTCCCCTCAGGGACAGCCAGTGTGGGACCCTGTGAGTGCTGTGGTTTTGGGAGGAAGGGGAGGGCTCAGGGCTCCAGCACCAGGGCAAGGAGTTCTCTGGACCATCACCATCAAGGGATGAGAGAGAACTCCTCAGCAGACTTTCTAATTTCTGTTGAATGTGCCGTTCATGGTATGAAACAGCCCTGGTGGCAGCTTGGGTCAAGTGCCCAGGTCTCGCTCCTCATCCCTGCACCTGGGGAGCTCAAAAGCACCAAGACCTTGAATCCCACAGCCCAGAGCTGGCTGTAAAGGAAATATTGTCAGGAATTCAGACACTGGAGTCTTCCAAAAGTGCAATTCTCCCCAGCGTTAGAAGAGAAGTTAGTCCTGTGTCACTCAACTCAGGACACATGGCTTTCTGTCCCCCTCCTCGCCTCTCTCCCTGCCCAGGGAATTATACCCAGCCCATTCCATCCCAGGCAGCTCCCCGCAGGGACAGCCACTGTGGGACCCTTCCAGCGCTGTGGTTTTGGGAGGAAGGGAAGGGCTCAGGGCTCTGGCACCAGGGCAAGGAGTTCTCTGGACCATCACCATCAAGGGAGAGAGAGAGAACTCCTCAGCAAACTTTCTAATTTCTATTGAATGTGC